TGATTATGACTTGTCGTGCGCGGGTTGGTTGGTGGGAAGGGGTTTGCTGTCTGCTTGCTTGTCAGCTTGCTTCTTGCTTGTTGCCTTGTCTTCTTCTTGGATTCTGAAGAGTGATGGGAGATGTGCACAATTTTCCGCAACTGCCAGCGAGTAAACGAGTGAACGGAGCGCGCCATCATCCACAACAACACCCGTGCACAAACGCAAGCAGCACCGAGCCAGGATGGACGTGGACGAGGAAGATGTTGTGGTGGATGAGGAAGGGGAGATGGTGGTGGATGAAGAGGCAGACCAAGAGGCAATGGCGTTTGCGAAAGAGGACGGCATGATGAGCGAGGACGAAGCAGAGAGCGAGGATCTGGGAGAAGACGCGGATGACGACGACGACCAGCGCAGCGAGGCTGGGGAACAACAGGCAGCCACTGACACGACGACGGCCACAGGGAAGGAGAAGCAGCAACGGCAAAGAAATCAAAGCCCAGAAGAGCAACAAGTGAAAGACGATTCCCAAGGCCAGCAGGAGGAGGGTGAAGCGAAGGAAGGCGATCAGCACAAGGCCAAGGTGGAAGGAGAAGAGGCAGCGGCCGAGGAGGAGGACCTCGTTGGGTCGGACGTGGTTGTGTTTCAGCCAGACACGTTCCACTTGGTGTTTGGACGGGCCAGTGATGGCCTTCCCATTGTGGAGCGGCATGCCATTGCATACCGGAACAAGCCCACAACGGCGTCTTCAGCGGACAGTCACCACGGCACTACCCAAGGCCAGCAGCCGCCCGCCGTGCGCCAGCCGCAACCGGCGGCTGCATTTGGCGGCTTCGGACAGCCCGCACCAACCGCTGCAGACACCGCGCATGGCCATGAGCAAGGCATCTTTGCCTATGAAGATCCTGCCGTGGACATGGAGCAGCGAGAGCAGGCCCTGGCCGCGGTGCAGGCGGAGATGAAAATGGTGCGGGACACGCGCGGGCGGCGCCTTCCAGGCAGCAACGCGCTTGTTGACGAGAACAGACTACGCAAAGCACAGCAAGGGCCGCGAAAGCCAACGACCATCGCCGCGCAGAACGACCGGGACTCCGTCTTTGAGGATGTGGCGCCCGTTGGTGTGAACAAGATTGTCGGCCATCAGGTCACGCACCTGAAGCGCGACAGCAACTTCACCGTCTTCCACCCGCTGCTGCCGCTGGGCGATCTTGACTGCCGTACGCGCTCGCGCACGGCTGTCGAGGACAGCATGGCTGATATCTGGCGAGAACTGCTGCAGCACCACCTGTCGTTGCGCCCTGCAGCTCTGCGCCGCATGCGCGCCGTCGTGCTGGTTCCCGACCTTGCTTCGCGCGCGTTCGTCCGCAGCGTGGTACGCGTCGTCTTGGACCTGCTTGGCTTCCAGAGCGTGCTCGTGCACCATGATTCCGTCTGCGCGACCTTTGGCGCCGGGTTACCGGGTGCGTGTGTCGTCAACTTGCACGCGCGCAACACGTCTGTGTCGTGCGTGCAGGACGGCGTGGTCATTGGTGAGACGCGGATGCAGCTGCCATATGGACTGTTTGACGTTGCCCGCACGGCCGGGTGGCTTATGGAGCGTGTCTACTTCCACGACCAGCCATCCCCCATCTCATATCGAAGCGTACATGATATGGAGAGCCTGTTGCGCTTCAATGACGACAACCTCCACTTTGTTCTTCCAGAGGCGTCGCAGAAACCGCACACGCTCACGCTGCGCTACCCGTGCGAGCACACACTCAAGTACCACATTGTCCTCGCCCAGCAGGTGCTGCGGGCGCAAGGGAGTGGTGTGTGTCTGTGTGGGTGGGTGTGTGTGCTTGTATGAGGGGAGGAGCAAAGCTCGTCAATAGCATTAACGTCCAACTCATTCTCCACCATGACTCAATCTCCATCGTTGCTCCCCCAGGTTGTGTTTGCGCCGTACGGGCTGTTCTACCCGGTGCTGCTCGGCCTCGACCCGACCGCCGCCACCGCGTATACCGTCGCGAACGGCGATGACCCCGAGGATGCAGTCGTCGACGACAACAGACCAAGTGCGGCCGTGGTCGCGGTGGTGTGTGGGGGGGAGGGTAATCTGTGTCTGTGTGTGTGTGTGTCTGTGTGTGTGTCTGTGTGTCTGTGTGTGTGTGTGTCTGTGTGTGTGTGTGTCTGTGTGTGTTTTGTGTAACCGTAGCTGACGACTTGGTTTTGCGGTTTCCCTCTTGTTGCAGATCAGTCAACAACGACAGCGAACAACACATCGTCGACACCGACAGGATCCACCACACCAGTGCCTGCAGGGACGGGATCGCCTCCGGTTCGTGCACGTCGAGGATACGCGGATGCATGCAATGCACGCTCCCTACCTGTCCGTATGTTCCCCCTCCCCAACTGTTCCACCATCACCCACCACCCACCGCTCACCATGACCCTTGATGCCATGACTGCGGCGTACAGAAGCGCGCCAAGCTGTCCCGGCGGTCAACAGCCCGCTCGCGATCAGCAGCCAACGACGTAGCATCACCATCCACCTCCACAGCAGCAACACCCCAGCAGCCGCCGCCATCGCGTATTCGCGGCCGCAACAGCAGCACCAGCGGCGGTGGTGGCAGCGGTGGTGGTGTGGTCACACCGGTTCCTGTCAAGGGAGGTGTCGCTGCTGCACCAGCGCCCGCGCACGCGGTGGGTGGATGGTGTGTGTATATGTGTATGAGTGTGTACTGTGTATGTGTGTGTGTTGTGTGTGTGTGTGTGTGACTGTGTGTGTGTGCACGATGCAGCAAGCTTTGCGAATGCTTATCCCTGTTTGTTTGCTCCCCCTGCCGTCTGCGTGTCTTCCAGACGCCCATGCTCCCGCTGGACAGGGCCGTTGTGCAGTCCATCTTGGGCGTGCCGAGCTTGGGCGTGCGCGGCAAGATGTGGCAGGCAATCATTCTAACAGGATCGGGGGCAAAGTGAGTTTTGTGTATGTATGTGAGAGTGTGTCTGTGCCTGTGCCTGTGTCTCTATGTTCGTGTGTCTGTCTGCCCGTCCGTTTCTCTGCATGTCCGTCTGTCCGCGTGTCTGTCCGTATTTGTGTCGACTGTCTCCACTGTGACAGTCCCCCTCCTCTCAATCTGCATCCAATCGCACCCCCTCTGGTTGTCAGGTACCGTAACTTTGCAAACACGCTGCAGCAGCGGCTGTTCATGGTGATGAGCGAACTGAAGCTGGCTGTGGACGACATTGTTGTGCTCGACAAGGCGAAAGACATCGACCCAGCCCACCTCACCTGGAAAGGTACCTGGTGTGGTTATTGTGGTGGCGGGTTTTGTGTGTGTGTGTGTGTGTGTCTGTGTGTGTGTGTGTGTGTGTGTGTGTGTGTGTGTGTGTGTGTGTGTGTGTGTGTGTGTGTGTGCCGTTTGATTATTTTCCAGCCTGCCCCGGCTCTTCAAACACTCACTCACTCACTCACACCTCACACGTGCACTCACTCACTCACTCACGCGCATCCCATTGCCTTGTGCAGGCGGGGCCATCCTTGCGCAGCTGCAGGCGGCAGACGAGATGTGGGTGACACAGGACGTGTGGCAGCGGCTCGGAACACGTGCACTGCGCGAGGTGTTCCCCTTTGAGTGGTGATCGTGGCGCTGCCGTTACGCACTCGCGCGCCGCTGGGTTGCTTTGCTGGGTTATCCGTGTCCACATGGAGCTTCGTTTATTTCGTGTTCGCTTGATGATAGTGATGATAGTGATGAGGGTGGTGGTGGTGGTGGTCGTCGTCGTCGTCGTCGTCGCTGTTGTTGTTGTTGTTGTTGTTGTATGGTCGTGATCGTGATATGTACACATCCATTACACGAGACACACACGCGCGCGCGCACACACCAACACATGCGCTGCTATGCGGGTGGGCGGTGGCGCTGCGGCTGCGGCTGAGGCATGCCAACCAAGCGGCCAATGGTTGAGATGAACGCCTCCAGGTATGAATGCTGCCTCGAAGGCTGCTCGCGTTGCTGTGTGCTGTGGTCGGCAGCAAGAGTCGCTTCTGCATCATCCTCTCCCGGGTCGTCACCTGCAAGCACGTCAGCGTCAGCACCGTCGTCATCATCATCATCATCATCAGCGGTGGCGTTTGGCGGGGAGGCGCAGACTTGTGCCAGGACGTCCTTGGTCTTGCACGGGTGCACTTGCCAGCATGGATGCTGTAACAGTGGGTGCTCCTGGTGACAAGACAAGGAAAGATGCGTGGGCAGGATGAGATGACGGCTTAGGACGAGGGGAACGCGGACAATAACCAGGAGCGCAGCAGACCTGGCTCGCGCACTGTGCACTGCCACCGATGCGCAACCAAATAAAGGCACACACACACACACACACACACACACACACACACACACACACACACACACACACACACACACACACACACACACACACACACACACACACACACACACACACACACACGAGGCAATAAGCCCGCACTTCAGAGATCGCGAGTCCACCACCTTGACGGTGCGCCACGTGTAGGCTGGATCGTCTCGAGCCAACGCCTGCCCTTGCTCCACAAACGCGTCCAACGTGATGCAGCCACCACTCATCGTGTTCCGTGTTTGGTGGGTGGACTGTGCTGCTTGCTTCATCTTTTGCTTCGTTGCTTCTTGTTTACTCGCCACAAGCAAGCAAACGCGCGACATGGAAGCAACGCAAAGAAAGCAAGGGAATGGGGCGAGGGGAGGGGGGGGGGGTTGGCCTACTTGAATCTGAAGAAGAGAGCAATGAAGAAGGGAAAAGCAAAGGAGCATGGCATGGTGCAGGTTATCTCGGCTGGTCGACTTCCTTCATGGCTGATCTCATATCCAAGGGCGTGGAACGTGACACGCGGCTCTGCAAGTTGGTTTGGTGATTGAGCGTGGCAGTGTGTGTGTGTGTGCGTGTGTGCGTGTGTGTGTGTGTGTGTGTGTAAGACAAGAGGGCAGGCAAGGATGTGAGTGGAAGACAAAAGGGGAGGAGACGTGTTAGAATGGCAGTGAACCAGCCCA